AACGACTTAATATACATAGAATAACAATGTATATAATAAACGATGTCATGATTTAAGCAGATGGTCACGATGCGAAGAATTGTTGGAGACGCTGTACCGTTCTACGGTCCAGAGCACACAAATCAAAGTCAAATGTTTTCTTCGTAATCTCGTATTGACCAGTTTCTGCAATTACTTGAACAACTCTTTGTAATTCTTGATTATCTTGTAAAGTCATTATTTTTTGTTGCAAGTCTTTTAATTGAGACACATAATCTTCCGAAAACACTGGTGGTTCCCCCATATCTGAATCAACCAAAGTACTATTCGTGGAATCAGGTGCCACTTGTTCCACTTCTGCTTCGATATTTTTTTCAACAATTTGTTCTATGACACCACGATCCTCTTTATCTTTCATATGAACAGTTTCCTGATCTACCACAACGGGTGATTGACTCGAAGAAACAGGTTCTAAAGGGGGTGACGATGATTGACCTCTATCCTTTTCTCTTTTAACTACATGTTCGTCATCGCCTTTACTATCACTCCTTCGTTTTCTCTTTCGGGTATCCTTCTCCTCCCCTTTGCTTCCTTTAGGTCTCTCCCTTTTACTTCGATCTATTTTTTCTTTTTTAATATCTGGCGGGATTGTGGGTGAAAGAGCTTTCGCCATATCGGTTGGCGGTGTAGACACTGTTATATTTTCTACTTCTTTCTTAATGACAGGCACTGACAATTTTGATTCGGTAAAAGAATCATCATCTACGGATGGCGCTGAATCGCTACTATCCCTTTCCGGCATTTCTGCCAATAGAGTTGAAAGAGGATTAGCTACTGAAACATTAGGCACATTATTTTGCTTCTCTGTTGAAGATTTTATCCTATCACGTTTTTCTTTTTTATCCCTATCTTTACTACTATCTCGTTTATCTTTTTTATCCCTTTTCTTATGCTTATGTTTCTGCCTATCCTTGTCACTTTTACTGTCCTTCGTTTTATCGGATCTTTCCATTTTCTCTGATTTTTCTATCTTTGGCAGCTTATCATCCTTTGGTTTGTCACTCTCCTTCGGAGGTCTCGGCGATTTTCTTCCATCTTTTGTAGATTTATATTCTTGATTTTTTTCTTTCTCGGATTTTTCCGATTTGTCTGACTTATCATTTTTCTTTTCTATTATTTTCATAGTTTCTTTCGAAGAAGATCGTTCTCCTTCTTTATATTTATCTTTTCGTTCTCTATCCCGATCTTCTTTATGTTTTTTCTTGTCCTTTTTTTTTTCACTTTTAGAAGAATCGGTAACACTCTTACCATTATCTTTTATTTTATCTTTTTCTTTATATTTATCTTTATCTTTGTCAACTGTTTTTTTTAGTTCTTTTTCTTTTAATTTTGGAGAAGACGGTCTCTTTGCTGGAGGGAGAGAAGGACTAGAAGGTCTTTTTAATGAGATTGATGTAGGTGAAAGAGGTCTTTTATTAGAAGGGCTAGAATGACTTTTATTTCCAGGACTTGGAGGTCTTTTTGATTTTTCTTTATTACGAATTTTATCTTTAGATTGATCTCTAATTCTTTTATCTTTTTTGTCGTCTACTTTCTCTTTTTTATTATCTTTGTGAGGGCTCTCTTTGAGTTTTGTTTTATCCACTTTATCAGACTTTTCAGTGGTAATTAATGATTTAGAACTTGAGGATTTTTCTGATTGTATAGGTTTTTTAGTATCTTGAATAACTTTTGTAGGTTTTAAAGGAGTTCCAAATAGCTCAGCAAAAGAATTAGAAGTTTTTGATTCTATATTTTTGTGCTTTTTTGTATCATTTCCATTGATTTTTGGTTTGTTAACCATAGTTAATGCTTTACTTTCACTTTTCTCAACTGAATTCTCAGAATTAGATATGAGAACCTAATCATATAATGTTTATTACGATTTATATAGTGATTTAAGAACCTGTAAATATAAGATTAAATATACTTACACCACCACCTTTTAATAATTTCCTTTTGAAATCATCTGAAGGATTATTAATTATTTCAGTATGCTTTATAACACTAGTAATTGCAGGACCACTTTTTTGTAAATTAAGGTCATATAAAATTTCTATTTTTTTGCTACCTTCATCCTTGTTTTTTAAATAAATATGAATTGGAATCTCAAAACCAGCATAACCAGATTCTTTTATCACAAATGGTGGTTCTTTTATGATTCTCTTTGGTTTTGTAAATGTTTCATGTAATTGAAAAACCACTGAAATACAAAATAAAATATATCAGAAGATGATCCATTCTGTATATTTAAATATATATAATATACATTAAAAAATATATTTACCTTTTTCAACATAGTGGTGAATATCAGCATTATCTATACCCCGCACAAATACTTCCCAATCATGAGTGTATCCTTGTGGAGTGGTCCGCATACGTAACATTGATGCGTGTCCACATTCTAATGTGATACGAATTGCCATTCTCTCATATGAAATTTTTGATACACACTTTTTTAAAGAAAAAATAGTGGAAGCTAATTATGCGGGTAAACACAAGAATTATATTACATTTTTATTGTGAATGAAAATCTTCACTATCAGGTCCTTCACAGAGTATTTGTAATGTTGTAAACCATTGTTCAGCAACTTATGCTAGATGTATAAGTTATGACAGTAATTCTTTCCTAATTTTCGTACTTTTAAGATTCTGGTACATCGTTTGGTTACACTTGTTTTACATAAAAAAATGAAACACCACATTAGTGTGGAATATTATGTTAAATGAGATATTTATTAGAGGCAATTTACCTCGTAAGAACTATGGTAATTCGATAATTTTTCTTAAGCCAAATTCGATTCGATTATCAACAGGTAAACTTTACATCAACTAGAACTAGTCGCCATACTCGTCATTCCATATATACTATACTAGAACAAAAAGCTCAATGTGTCGCCATCTAGGAAAATCTCTGTCCTCCATTAAACAATACCAATATCAATTCTTGATTTTATACAATTTTGTCCAATCCTTGATTGAGCACACACAAATGACACATTGTTTATTAATAGAACGTACTATTCTCACATATTTAAATATTGTTTGTTGCTGAATTTTAATGTATGTAAATTATTGAGATATTATTTATATATTATTTAATAGTATAATATTTTAATTTTTATATTTATATTTAAATTAAAATATAATTTCTTTTGTTTTTTGATAAAATTAGTAAATATATTAATATAACATATTAATCGTAAGTAAATTTATTACGAACAATATATAATATTTAAAAGAAATACTTAAAGAAATCAATAATATTATTTATAATTTAATGAAGAAAAAGAATTCTAATCTTCACTATAAATGTAATCTATTGATATCTTATTAATATAAATTTCTTTTATAAAAAATGTTATCTACTATTGTAAAAGAGCATCAAAGCAAACAAGCAGCGAGAAAAGAAAGACAAGGTAAAAAAAATAAATTTTTGATTTTATAGAAATTGAATAAAATTATGATTATATAATAAATATTTATATATAATAATATTTTTTAACAGAACAAAAAAGAAAAGAAGCTGTACAAGCTGCAAGTAACTTGACACAAGCTTTGGTTGATCATCTAAATGTAGGGTGAGTTCAAGATGTCCTTTAACAACAAATATAATTATTTATTGAATATATATTTTTATCATATAGTGTAGCACAAGCATATCTCAATCAAAAGAAATTAGATGCAGAAGCAAAACAATTGCAACATAGTGCAACAAATTTTGCGAAACAAACACAATCATGGTTGAACCTAGTAGAAGCATTTTCTAGTGCATTAAAAGAAATTGGTGATGCTGAAAATTGGGCACGTAGCATTGAAGGAGATATGAGAACTATAGCAACTGCTTTGGAATATTCTTATAAAGGTAAATACAATCATTTTTGTTATTAATTTTTTATATATATATAAAATTAATTAATATACTTGTAGCTACTCAAGAAGCTCAAGGGACCAGTACTTCTTGAAAGCACTTCAAAAATATACATTATGTTACAATAATATTTAAAAAGAAACTTAACAATAAGTGTTATAAAATTTAATATTGTTTTATGTTTGTATTATTATGTGTTATATAAAATAAATGGATTTATCATGTTTTTTTATTGTTAAGAATTTATTTATTTAGTATTTAAAGTTTATAATAGAATTGAAATAATTAATTGATCATTGTCTAGGGATTTAGTTTGATAATATTTTTAAAAACCAGGGTTACCAAATAAATTTAAGTAAATTTAAATCACTAGAAATATATAGATACTAATCATGGCAGCAGGTCCTATTGCTGAACGTAATCAAGGTAAATTAAAATGTTTAAAATATATGTAACAATATTTTTCTTTTTTTTCTTTGTAATTAAAATATTTATTGTAATTTAAATAATCTTACATTAAAAATTTTACTAATAATATATTAAAATTAAAAATGTATCATATTAGGTTATGTGTTCGTAAACACTTGTAGATTAACAATTCTAGAAATTTCATTTATAAAATTGAATGTAAATAAAATCAGTTTTTTATATCTCGAATGAAATGTTTTTCGATGGTTTTAGATGCCACAATATATGTGGGTGGATTGGATGATAAAGTTACAGAGTCCCTTATGTGGGAATTATTTGTTCAATCAGGACCAGTAGGTACGTGTTATATATATCCATTGTTATATTTTCTAATTTTTAATATTCGAATAATTAAATTTTCTTTATAATTTTTTCAGTAAATGTCCATATGCCAAAAGATAGAGTGACACAAATGCATCAAGGCTATGGATTTGTAGAATTTATGGGAGAAGAAGATGCAGATTATGCTATTAAAATAATGAATATGATAAAATTGTATGGGAAACCAATAAGAGTAAACAAAGCAAGTGCTCATCAAAAAAATCTAGATGTTGGAGCTAATATCTTTATTGGAAATCTTGATCCAGAAGTAGACGAAAAACTTTTATACGACACTTTCAGTGCATTTGGAGTAATTCTTCAAACACCAAAGGTAATATATATTAATAATAATAAAAATTAATCAATATCTTGAAAATAAATAATAATTAATATTATTATATAAAATATATTTTTCAGATAATGAGAGATCCTGAAACAGGAAATTCAAAAGGTTTCGCATTTATAAATTTTGCTTCGTTTGACGCATCTGATGCGAGTATAGAAGCAATGAACGGTCAATATCTATGCAACAGACCAATTTCTGTTTCGTATGCTTTCAAACGCGATGCGAAAGGTGAAAGGCATGGTAGCGCGGCTGAAAGATTGTTAGCTGCTCAAAATCCACTAAGTCAAGCAGATAGGCCACATCAATTGTTTGCCGATGCTCCTCCTTTAGCACCACCTCCAATTCCAAATTCAAATACAGCAACTCATCAAGCTACTCATCATCCTCAACATCATGTAATGCACGGTATGGTTGTACCGCCTCCTCCTCCACCATCAACACCAGGACCTCCAATGGGTCATCCACCGCCACCACCTGTTCCACCTCCACCTTCGAGTGGTTTTCCTCCAGCGAGTATTCCTCCGCCACCTTTACCCCCAATGTCAATGGCAACTCATCCTCCTCTACCACCTGGAATGCCACCTCCACTGCCACCTATGCCCGTTCCAACGTCTCAAGCACAACAAACAACTCCCAGAATGATAGCGCCTCCACCTACTGCTCATTGGGGTGTAAGCGGACCACCTCAAGGTCAATTTCCACCACCACCACCGCCTTCATCCACTGGTGCACCTCCACCTCCGCAATTTGGACAATTTCAACCACCACCTCCCCGACCACCTCCAACCTGGAGGCATCCACCACCCCCTCCAGTGTCTCAAGGTGGACCACCGCCACCTCCACCTCCACAGTTTCGACCTCCCTTCCCACCGAGAGGTCCTCCTCCTCCACCGCCACCTCACGATTCCAGTCAATACTAAATTTATCATTTTTTTCCTCTTCGATATGTTTAATTTAAAAATGTAATTTTGACTGTGTTCTTATTGATTAACATAATTAAACTAACTGATTGTACAAATATTCTGTAAGACAAATTCACAATAAATTTTTTTAATTTTATCTTATTTTTTTTTTTTAAATTCCAAATTCCTTTCCTCCTTTCCTTTCTTACAATAATAGATCATAAGTTATCAATTTATCTTAATTTCTTAATCTAATTAGTTAATCTAACGTATAAAAACGCGGTCATTTAATATATCGATTAGGGAAGTCGCGTGTGAATAAGGACATGCCAAGTTTGTTCTATTGATTATTGCAAGCTTGACCAGTCCAGTCAGTGATAACAACGAACAGACAAATGAATAGCAAAACAGTTGAATACGAGCTTGTCATCGCGTTGAAAGGATTCAACGTTGTTTCGTTTATACGGAACGGAACGAAAAGTAACAAGTGAACGTAAGGAAATCGTACGTCGCGTATCAAAAACCGGGTAAGTAAGGGGAACAGGTGTCTGGAGTGATAAATTAAGAGCATTGGCGTGCATTCTGAAAATAACGCGACTTTTTTTTAGATCGTTCGTGACTCGATGTAGTTTCATCGATCCATGGAACGCATCCTTGCTTGTCTCGTTACCTCTTAATGAAATCGAACCATTTTCAATCAATCCGAGATTTGACGATTTAAAATGGTTACTCATCTATCCAATATTCTATCGAAAGGAGAGAATCATGTTTAACTTGTGACATGGCTCGCTTCTACTACGAATGTAACACAGATTTAAAAAATTATACCGAAGACAGTGAAACTATCAAGCCTTACGCTTGTACATCCGACAAATATTGTTTGTATTGTTGTTGTAACTCGCAGTGTTGCTTATTGGTACAAAGACGGCCTCCACGACATTTTTGGGAAGCCTGGTACTTTTGGCTAGGCATTGCTTTACTCGCTGTTTTTATCGTATCTTCGGTAAGTGTGTCAATCATCCAATCATCGAAATTTGCATATAATATATTGGAAAATTGTGTTTGACAATTGTCATCTCCCTTAGAACTAACTCCTTTAATTTGAGAGAATACTCGTTTAATTTCATGACCGTCAATTTTCTAAGGGATTCTTCGATTCCTTTCTTCTTTTTAAAATTAGGTGAGCAGTTACATAGTGAGTAATTGCAGACATAATATTCAAGGTGTACCACTAAGACATAGCGCACATGGGAATCGACGAAACGATCGTGGCGGTCATTCGACAAACAACCAAAATGAAATATCGATAAGCATAATCCCAACCTCGGAATTTTTCCCATCGCACAGAAAAATGTTCGTGATCACCTCTCAACCAGCCGTGAATCATCTGAGTAAGTAGAAATCGAATGTCTGTAGAATTTTCTTGTAAAACGTTCGTGTGAATGTTTAAAACTTTCGAAAGTCTGACCGAAACGCAACGATACTGCGTTCCATAAACTGCATAATTACAATAAGGTATATATAATGATGTTAATATAAATACATTTCGTATCGAGCAATTAAGCTACAGAAGGGCGGGGAGAAGTAACTGCGAGCGGTTGAGAAGAAAGAGCTCGAACGTAAAAGAAATCTCACAATAAAAGGGGGAGGGAGGAACAATCATTTTAATCTGCCCGAGATTCGATTAAAGTTGAGGACTGATGGAATAATTCGTGCAATTTCGTGTAATAACAATTTTGTGCATGCATTGATTTATATTGCAGCCCCTGTCGTTGCGTGAAGTCGTTTCATTTTAACGGAGCGATTATGTCGGCGAGAAGGATCCAGCGCAAAGAGCTGGAATCACATCATCCTATGGCGGTTTACGCGGTAATGCTTCTTGAAAGACACCGCGTGTTTCATCGGCCGGTGGTTTGATCGGCTAGAACGTCATCATGGCCTCGTCGTTACATCGCGGGAAATATTTACGATAAATGCATCTTTTTTACTTAGCCCCAGGATATAATAACTATAAGCGGTTTAAACAGCTACCAGATCACGACACCAACATTCTGGCCAAATGAGAAACGATTTTACCTAAGAGCATACGCCTCGTAATGATCAATTTGACAGCGAAGCTAGTTAGATCGCGATCCAATCCCTACTTTCGTTCTTAACTCGCCACACGCGATGCGATCTTATATTATATATCATGAAAACTTCCGGTCGGCCTGTTACGATTAAGCGATTTACCGTTTCAATGGGGGTGAAAAAAGAGAAAGAGTTTGAAAATATCGAATAATATAGGATCGGAAACCGATACCGTGAATATAACTTCTATCGATCGATTTAATCGTTTCCAGAATTACAAATCATCGGACCTGTATTCGATTAGATCAATCGCTTCTATATTTTATATCGGAGTAATTTAGATTTTTTTTTTTTTTAAATCCTGATTCCATTTGACTGAGCGGAGCGCAACCCGATCGAAACTCGTTCTCGAGATCTCGAGAATGGAAGTAACTACCATTAACAATTAAGAAGACACACTCGAACCCGGTCGACGTATCTGACTGGGTACCAAGAAATCGGGGGCTAATTAAAAAGGACAATCGAGCGAATACAACTCAAGGCGACGTGTACTCTTTATCTTCTCGCGCATCTCTCTTGCCCTCTCTTGCTTCCTCTTTCCGTACCTTTACATCTTTCTCTTTATCCGCTCAATTCCTCGTCTTCCTTTTCCCCGCGACTCGTTCCTACCGCTCTCTGTTTTCAGATCGATCCAGCGATAGCGGTTAATCGCGGTAATCTTCACAGAGGAGAGGAATCACGAAAAACTTTGCCGCTCGTCCAATCGTATCGCGGTGAACGCGGAAACATGCACGCATTTCAAAATGATAAAAAATGAAAATGATCACTGTTGATCATCCGAATCTGAAAGTTATTCGAGCGACGTGCTCATAGAGATTTCTTAGAATCGAGAGATTAGAGTTTAGATCTCGTGCCACGTGCCTCGAATCGCCTTCGGAAAATGAAAGGATTTGATGTAAATTTTCATTGTCTCGTTCCATTTGCGTAATGATTGGCTGTGACAGTGTCAATTTGAAACAGCGATTTTTTCGCGAAGCAAAAACGTCTCCGTCTTTTTTTTCTTCTTTTTCTCGAAATGTTAGTTACAAAAAATAATACGTTTATTTTAATACGAAATAACGTAGGTTACAATGTATAATATAGATATATATATATATATAGATCACGATATCTTTCTCACGCGAGAAAATGTATTAATTAATATGCATCGAAAGATACAGATACACGTTTGACATTTTGCACAAGTGTGATTGTAATTAGCTGCGTAGGATGGGAGTGGAAACTACTGTGCATGATTACCATAAAATTCTATAAATACACACGATTAATAATATATTTCTAACCTTCTTTTTAATTTTTCGCCAATCCCACGCTACAATACGGTTGCCCAATGTTGCAACATGCAACGCCAGAGCTGAAAGATTTACACTTGTTGAGAAAATCCAGTTCTCACGATTGATTTAATTGGGGTTAATTAGACTACTTTCGTCGTGGGTGAAATTTTGAAACGATTCTATCCCTGGAAGAAAAGACTCGGAATTAGAGAAATTATAATCGAGAATCGGTTTTCAACTATATATATATATAGTAGGCATGCACATACGTATACGAGAGGAATTTAAATTGCCTACTCTTCACCTCGTTGAAATCGGTCTATTCGAGCAACGATCCTCGATGAACGGTTCGCGATACATCTCAATAAATTATCCGCGTGAAAGAAATCCTTGTGCTCCCTGTAAATCTTTTTACTGCGAACACTTGATCGTTCGCGCAATAAGAAGTAGCCGCGGAGCCGACTGCCGGCGACCTCGTTCAACTGTAACGAAGTGTCATTCCGATAACCCAAGCCAGCTTTTACTGTCATTCGACGGATGACGATAAAGAAATGTGCAACCAGCGGGGGCTCTGCTTAACGTTGCATGGACGGGAAACCAAGCGGGGAATTAAAGTCTCTCGTCTGCTTTACCGTTCCGATAACTACGATTAAGATGTTCGACCCTAAATTGTGAATCGTTCGCGGACACAATTTTTATCCTATTCATCTCCTCGATCACCTAGCCCTAGATTATTTCGATCATTGTATTTGGAAGGAAATAAAGATGAACAAGTTGGATTAATGGGGCATTTCTTATTTCCATAGATTCCTCCCTTTTTTTCGATGCATGCATTTTGCGGGTAATAAAAGAGTCGATTTTTACAATAATATGATTTTTACAATAATAAGTAAATGATGCGAGAAATAAAATTAGAATTTAAATAAATAAAGCTAAATATATATATATAAAGAAATAAATGTAAATTTATGTAATGAAACAAATATTGTAATATTTAAATATACGTTTTCAACACACGTGTAATAAACTTAACACAGCCTTAACACAGAATTATAGGTGGTGTTATTCTATCGAATAAAATCGGTTGCATCTGGTTGGAAATAGTATATCAAAGAAAGATACGAACGTGCATCCAATTCAGATATTATTGTTCCAATAAATCGGACGAATTTAGGAGACTTTTCGAGGCAACGAGTTCTTCTGAAAAAAAAAAAAAATGGAATTCGTCGCTGGAATTCTTTGAAAGCGAGACATCCTAAGTTTCGAAATGTATAAACAAGATGTAAGAAAAAATTAACCAGCGATGCTTGGATCGAATAAAAGATGGCGATTAATAATTATAAGCTATGAATAATTTTTGATATTAATTAACGTAATCGAAATCGAAGGGGTTGAATGAAAATCACCGTTCAACAAAAATTCCAACTCCTTATCGTGATATCGAAAACAGTTGTATACAAAGAGGAGACACATTCCTTCATCTGGAAGTCGTTTGTGAAATCGCATCTGCGTAGTACACGAATCTGTGATGTTGATCTAATAAATCGGGTTTAAAAAGAGAATCAACGGAGTCAACGAGAAAAGCAAGAAAAAGACGAGCAAAATCCAGCGCAAGCGTGAGTATAAATTGCGAACACGAAAGAGGGTTAGCCGAAAATGATAACGTCTCTTAGAGCGACAAAAGACAAAAAGAAAGAAAAAAGCATCGAAAAAATCCTACAATGGATGCAAAGGATAAAAGTTAAATAATTATCTCAACAAATACATCAAATCCTTACGATTATTCTTCGACTTGATAATGGTCTCCCATTTCTTAGGTGAACTTAGTCCCCGTGAGTTAATTTTATCACCATGATTATCACCGTGATACGCTATTCAAAACAAGTTTTATTAACAGAAAGAAAGAATCGCGAAAGAAATGAGATTGGATCGGAAGAAGAAATATTCTGGAAGGGATTGGTATGTCGCCTTGATGACGAAAGCTACACTAGCGGTGTATGTTTAATATCTTCGATGACGGAATTAAAATAGATATATAGAAATAAATGTTTAAGGTGTGAAAGAGGAGAGAGGAAGGAAGGAGGGGAAAAAAGGAGGACGAAAAGAGAAGAAGAGAGAGAGAGATGGGACCGTTCTGTGCGGTTGAGTGGTCAACGTGTAAAGCAAAAGAAAGAGGAGGATACGTATTTTCTGTGTTCCAGTGGGAGGAGGTACTAAAATTAGAGGAGCCCACGCGGGTAACAGTTTCTTCTTCGAGCTTCCTTCAGACATTTTCAAATAGTCCTTTACGCCGATAACACAACGTGTTTTCGCGACGTCTCGCTGTCAGTCGCGACTCGGCGCCGTGATTCTGCGTTCGATTCGATTGGCTTACAAGTGACTTCCTCGGGAGACACGGTTCCCTCCTTGGAACCCATTCAACGTCCAAGTGACTCGAGATATTCCAACTGGCAAACGAAAACTTTGAATAATCGTCCTTTCATTTTTTTTTTTT